GCCATCGCGCTTCGACTGCGGCACTCCTCCAGCTCAGCTGCCTGGGGCTGCTTCCAGCCTGGCCTGGGCTCCAAGTCTCAGCCTGTGGTTCCTCCCAACTACAGCGAGGGGACGTTGCCCTATTCCTATAATCTCTGCGTTGACTCACGTTCTGCGACTGCAGCAGGGTTTGATTTTCTCCACGTGGCACCAGAAGTTGCTCCCCCTCAGGATCTCCTGTGTGACGATCCTTCTGTGGTTGTGAGTGGCAATAATGAAGATCCCAAAATTTCGTTCAACCCTTCTTCGCTTCAGGTAAGTTTGTACAGAGCTACTTAAACGTATTGTTTGATGTATTTGCTTCTCGATCATGCACAAAATAATCAACTTTGATTTTTTTTTTTTCATCGTTTGGGGGGTACTTAGTAGGGAAAGTGTCGTGGACGCATAAAGATTGGCTCTTGGTTGTTCCGCCATCTTGGAAATGACCTGATTACCAGTTTCAGTCTTTGCTGTTGGTGTTTCTGTGTAGCGAAGCAAATCTTTCTAGAGATTGTTTCCTATAGGCCAACACCCTTAATAATATTAGTGCCCTTTCTTGCTTGGTGAGACTGATTTTTTTTTTAAATAACCTCTAACTCTTTATAAGCATGTTGACATTTCTTTCTGCCTAAATTAAAGTCAATTACTTTTTTTGCCTGAACACAATTGTTGATTTGCTCGTTCGTTTGTTTGTTTTGAGACAAAGTTTCTCTGTGCAGCTCTGGCTGTTCTGGAACTCTATCTGCAGACCAGGCTGGCCTTGAACTCACAGAGATCCTCCTGCCTCTGCCTCCATGTGCTGGGATTAACAGTGTGGACCACCACCGCTCCACTTAACCTTTTATTGCAACACATGCGTTTGACAGGAGCATTCAAAAATTAAGCCTGTTAGCACTTACTTGTCTTACCACAAGTACCAAAGGTTACATTTTATATTTGAATCAGGAAGTTTGGGTCAATATTCTTATTTCTATTCTCACTCAAGTGTCTCTTTTTAACATGAATTTGTGGGAGGTGAGACATACATGTGTCATGATGAGCATGTGGGGGTTAAAGGACATTATGGGAGTCAGTTCTCTACTTCCACCCCAGGATCAAATTCATCAGATTTTCAGGCTTGCCAGCAAAAGCTTTTGCCACCTGAGCCATCTTGTCGACCCTTCCACAGGCCTTTTGACAATCTTTAAGCATTTGATTTATGTTCCTTCTCCTTCGTCACCATCGTAGTAGGGACTATGATGATCTTCCTATTTATGAAACATTTTATATCTTTCTTATTGTTTTAATATAGATTTCTGTGAGTAAAATCTACAAGCATGTTGTGGTTTTTATGCATGTTGTCAGTTATTCCCAAGATACATCATTTTAATCCCCCACTCCTGAGCACTTAATAAATCCTTCAAGGACTGTGAAAAACACGTTGAACCGACTCTCTCAAAGACTGGAGATTTTTAATTCTGCATAATTTTCAGGCTTTTATGACTCCTTAAAAGTTAGGTCATTTCTACCTGCTAATTGTTAAGCAAGGAATAAATTAAAGAATGGATGGCTTCTTGACTTCTCTCAAAATTTCTCAGATTACTCAAGTAAGCTGTGGAAACTGTGACAATAAAGATGTATACACAATTATTAAAATAGTTCCTTTTACTTGCTATTTCTGAAATCAAAGGCAACACAGTTTTAAATGGTGGTTAAAAAATAATAGAATTGGTGGTAGTAAAATGAGAGCACTGGATGTCTTACATGAAAAGTGTCTTATATGACTGTCTTATAAAAGTGTCATATAAGAGTGTCTTATATGAAAGATACCCTTGAAATATATATACATATACATGTTCATACCTGTATGTGTTTAAGTTTTTTTTCAGACTGGCATAGAACTCACAGATATCTGCCTGCCTCTGCCTCTCACGTGCTTAAATTAAAGGTGTGTATCCTGAAATTCTTCGCAGCCCTTAAATTTAACTTTTCTGCCTTGATGTTATCATTTATTTTAATATTTGCCAATTATTTGGGGTTTGGTTTGCATTGGTAATTGACTCATTAAACACTGGAAAATATTCCTCCTATCACACCACAAGAACACGACCCACAGAATCAACTGATGAGGACTCATAGAAACTTGCAGAGATCAGGGAGCCTGTAGGAATCTGACCTAGGTCTTCTGTATATATGAGTAGCTTGGTGTGCTTGTGGGAATCCTAACATTAGGAGCAGTGGCCATCCTGACTCTTTTGCCTGTTTGTGGGACCCTTTTCCTCCTCCTGGGCTGCCTTGCCCAGCCTTTATCTGATGGTGTGGGCCTGGTCTTATTGTAGCTTGTTACAGCATGTTTGGTTGATGTCTCTGGGAGGCCTGCTCTTTTCTGAAGGGAGATGGAGGGGAAGAGGATCTGGAGTCGCTACACAATATATGAGAGAATTTTTAAAAGATTGAGGGCACACTGAGCACAACAGTGGTGGCGGATAAGCACCAGAGTTTTCTGCATGCAAAATTGTCTATTTTACCCCACACCTAGAATCTTTCCCTTAGACGCATTTGCACGAGGATAAGATTATCGTGTGAGCAGCAGCATGTTTCTTTCAGTGGAACTGAAAGATTACCCCAGATTCCAAAGGGTGAACCTGTGTGAGGAAACTTGCCTCTGCGTAAGTTGTGAGTAGAGCCGAAACCTCCAGGCTCCATACACTGCTGTCTCTTCACCCCTTTCCTTTTCTCCACTCAAACCGCCGTTCCTGGCAGGAATAGATGTGACCCTCATACAGTACGGAAGTACTGAAAATGATGGAGACAAACAGTGCAACAACTGAAAGGAGGTAGAAAACAACTTTCCCCCAAAACCACTGTATTATCTCTCTAACAAATCAACTTAGTTTGATGTTTGGAAGCTTTAGATAATTCCTGAAATTTGTTTTTGCAAATCAAACAACAGGATTTTGACCTTTATTCTTCTTTAGGAAAGTAGGATTAGGAAAGGGAAAATGTGTGGTGTTTGAGCAAGAATTAGTTGCAATAACAGTTTAGTACTCTGGGTGTCGCTGTTCACCACTCAGGGGTGAAAATCGGGCATTTAACAAGAGCAAGATTTCCGGAGCACAAAGAACTGGTTCTGGTCTTAAGGAAAGCATCAGTCCGGACTCCCAGGAGCGCCAGCGTCCAACAGTGCAAGTACATTATCTTGAAACCCAAGGTTGTGGACTCATCAGACCTGCGCAGACTCAAGGCCCAAGCTCAGGACCCTCTGCGGAGAGACTGCAATGGCGGCTCCTTCCGGATCAGACCGCGGGGGACTAATCTGGATCTGCATTTTCCTGGGATCCTTATGCGACCTCAGCGCTGAACAGATCCGGTACTCTGTGCCTGAGGAGCTGGAAAGGGGCTCTGTGGTGGGCAACCTCGCCGCGGACCTGGGGCTGGAGCCCGGGAAGCTGGCAGAACGCGGGGTCCGCATCGTCTCCAGAGGTAAGACCCAGCTCTTTGCCCTGAACCCGCGGAGCGGCAGCTTAGTGACAGCGGGGAGGATCGACAGGGAAGCGCTCTGTGACAGATCCCTGAAGTGTACCGCAAATCTAGAGATTCTCCTGGAGGATAAAGTGAGGATTCTTGCAGTGGAAGTGGAAATCGTTGATGTTAATGATAATGCCCCCAGCTTTGGAGCACAGCAGAGGGAAATAAAAGTGGCTGAAAATGAAAATCTTGGGACAAGATTTCCTCTCCCTGAAGCTTTTGATCCGGATATAGGGGTGAACGCCTTGCAGGGTTACCAGCTCAGCTCCAATGGTCATTTCTCCCTGGACGTGAAAAGCGGACCGGATGGGATTAAGTACCCGGAGCTGGTGCTGGAGAGGGCCTTAGATCGCGAGGAGGAAGCCTTTCATCACCTGGTTCTCACCGCCTTCGACGGAGGTGACCCGGTTCGCTCTGGCACTGCCACAATTCAGATAACACTCGTGGACACCAATGACAACGCTCCCGTATTCACTCAACCGGAGTACCACGTTAGTGTGAAGGAGAATTTGCCCGTGGGCACGCGGCTACTGACGGTAAAAGCCACTGACCCAGATGAAGGAGCCAATGGAGAAGTGACGTATTCTTTCCGGAACGTAAGAGACAAGATATCCCATCTATTCCAGCTGAATTCTCAGAGTGGGGACATAACGATGTTAGGGGAGCTGGATTATGAGGACTCTGCGTTCTATGACGTTGATGTAGAAGCTCATGATGGGCCCGGTCTGCGAGCCAGGGGTAAGGTGCTGGTGACAGTTCTGGATGTAAATGACAATGCTCCCGAAGTCACTGTTACCTCCCTCACCAGCTCTATCCAAGAAGCTTCTTCCCCAGGCACAGTGATTGCGCTCTTCCACGCGCATGACAGCGACTCTGGAGAGAATGGCCTTGTCACTTGCTCTATTCCAGATAATCTTCCATTCAGGCTGGAAAAGACCTATGGAAATTATCATCGGTTGTTGGTTCACAGGACTCTGGACAGGGAAGAAGTCTCCGAATATAACATTACAGTAACAGCCACCGACCAGGGAACTCCGCCACTGTCTACAGAGACTTATATCTCCTTGCAGGTGGTGGACATCAATGACAACCCACCCACCTTCAGCCATGCCTCCTATTCTGCCTACCTCCCAGAAAACAACCCTAGAGGAGCTTCCATCCTCTCCATAACAGCCCAGGACCCAGACAGTGGTGAGAATGCCCAGATAACCTACTCCCTGACAGAGGACACTATCCAGGGGGCACCTCTGTCCTCCTACGTCTCCATCAACTCCAACACCGGTGTTCTCTACGCACTACGTTCCTTCGATTATGAGCAGTTTCAAGACTTGAAGGTACTAGTGACGGCCAGGGACAGTGGGAACCCTCCACTCAGCAGCAACGTGTCACTGAGCTTATTTGTGCTGGACCAAAATGACAACACACCCGAGATCCTGTACCCCACCCTCCCCACTGATGGCTCTACTGGTGTGGAGCTGGCGCCCCGCTCAGCAGAGCCTGGATACCTGGTGACCAAGGTGGTGGCTGTGGACAAAGACTCGGGACAGAACGCCTGGCTGTCCTATCGCCTGCTCAAGGCCAGCGAGCCGGGGCTGTTCTCTGTGGGGCTGCACACGGGCGAGGTGCGCACTGCCCGGGCCCTTCTGGACAGAGATGCCCTGAAGCAGAGCCTGGTGGTGACCGTGCAGGACCACGGCCAGCCCCCTCTCTCTGCCACAGTCACACTCACCATAGCCGTGGCAGACAGCATCCCCGACATCCTGGGGGACCTGGGCAGCGTTGACACTCACATGGACCAGGAAGATTCAGACATCACGCTGTACCTGGTGGTGGCCGTGGCGGTGGTCTCTTGTGTCTTCCTAGCCTTCGTCATTGTGCTGCTGACGCTCAGGCTCCGTCGCTGGCACTCAAGCCGCCTGCTTCGGGCTGCAGGCAG